ACTTTTAGATAACGATTCTCAGGGTTCCTATTTTCACAACTGATTGCCGGTGAAGACGCCCCGGTTGTCTCTGTCGCCAAACGGTGGCGCCAACCGCCCGGGGTGCTGTGTTTCTGTCGTGTCAGAGAGATGTCAGTCGGGCCCAGGGAGGAATCAAGTGTCGTTGGAAAGGTGAATTTCGGAAAAAAATTCTTTCATAAGAATCCAGTAATGTTTTTGGTTGATATGTCCGCTATCATTTTATACACCCCCTGCGCTCCCTTCAGTATTCACGCCTCCGATTATCACGGTTGGCTACATATGATACAAAACAAGTTCAACAAACACACGCATGCGGGGTCACGCGGGGTCACGCGGGGTCACGCGGGGTCACGCGGGGTCACGCGGGGTCACGCGGGGCCACGCGGGGCCACGCGGGGCCACGCGGGGACACGGCGATGACAAAGATCTCCTCAATTAAGCAGCCCCACCTCACGATTGTGTCTCTGGACTCTGAGCAAATTGAATTCACGGACCATTTCAAATGTCTGGGTGTTATGCTTGATCCCCAAATATTTTTCCAGACTCATGCAGAACATATTTCTGAGAAAACTATGACAAAAAAAAAATAGGTTTCCCCTACAGATACAAGCCTTGTATTCCCCTGCATCTCAGATTATAAATTGTCAAAGCAACCACTCTCCCCGTGTTCAACGACTATGATCTATGATGTAATGTACAGACTGGCTACAGAGACTCTCCTGCAATGCTTGGTCCCTCTGTATGTATGATGAACGCTTTCCGCACCGTACGGAGTCAACCTCGCTAATCAGGGGTGCGGGCAAAGGACAAAAAAAAATGAGTCTTCCGAATTAGATTTAAAAGTGCGTAGCTCCATTGGCTTCCTAATATTGCAAGGAAGACCGTTCCAGACGGCCGCAGCAGCGCATCTGGAAGCGCGCGATGCGGTGACCACCGTTTTTGTTCAATGGTCAGCCAAAAGCCGCCGCTGCTGCGAGGACGACCGGAGTTTGCGTGATGACGGTTTATGCTCCTTGACGAGATCAGCCAAAGTATCGTGGCTCATGTGTGGCGAGCGCTTTGCGTGTGTCACGAGTGCGACCTTTATAACGAATTTGTTCGGCAATCGGAAGCCAATGCAGCTCGGAGAGCACTGGACGGACCGTTCAGCCCCTCCTCGCGTTGCACTCGATGCCCCGTACAGAACACGCCACCGATTTCTGCACTTAGACGTAAACGTCACTCCCTCCTTGACACTCGGGGAGAGAGACAGCGTCGTTGGGCGTCATTCATCCCCAAAGTTCTCCAGCAACAAATCGACCGACCGCCTCCGCGACCGCCATCCTCCGCAGTCCTCGTCACGCCGCCTTCAGGAGCTCCTCTCCACTTCTCCCGAAAGCGCCCAGAGTGAGATCCGGCCCACGGTGAGACATCGTCTCGCGTTGCCGCCCTTCACTTTGGGAAGCAGCTCGCTTCGTGGTTTCAGGTCTAAATCCCACCTTCCTTCCCGGGCCCCTTGAACATTCCTTCCTTGATTTAAGGTTTCCCTTCTCTTGCACTCGTGGTGAGCAAACCCCACGCAAGTTGCTGCTGCATTTCTGTTGCCCGCTGCCAGCGTTGCTCGGGTGGTGCACGACTTTGAGCGTTGTTTTCCTCGCTTGAGTGTGCTACTCGGCGCCTGCAACGCGATGACTTATTTGCTGCTGCAACTTCCTGTTTTTCAGCAGGGTCCCCCCGCGGGTCAATCTTCTAAAACAGATTGAGGCGGCATGTTTCTTACCCGCATCAACAAACACAATCAAACCAAAACTTAGTGGGAAGGGCGCTGCAGCCCACACATCAACCGCTGCAACGTGCACATGGTGCACAGTCTGCTTCATCGCTCACGAGCGACCGCTGTGCAACCGGTCCCACCCAGAGCTAGGACGAAAACCGCCAATGAAGTCGATCGATCAACCAAAATCAGCGCAAACCATGGCAGTGGATGTGGGCACTGGACGTGGGCAATGGACGTGAGCACTGGATGTGAGCACTGGATGCAAAAATGGAAAATGGAAAACCCTCCGGTGTCTGACTGTTGTCCTCCCAGAAGAGAGCCATGGAACGTAGAACAACCACTCAGTGCCCGATTCACAATTACATCGGAGGAGGCATCGCCACAGAGATGATTCGCCACTCCACTACTGCTGACGCAATCGCCTGGCTCATCGACCGCCTCAATGTACAATCATAGTTTGTAGCTCTACAGCAACATCAGCCACACGGAGAAGTAGTACGAATCGACAAAAACTTGTAATCGACCGCACGACGCTCTGTGTGTTTTCCGCGCAGTGTGATTCGCCAAGAAAACGGGACCAATAACCTCATGGGACCTTTTTTACCAGTTTCAAAGTATGAAAAATAAGAATCGGTTTTTACCCTTTCTCCGAATAATACAGGAGGTGTTAAGATGTTCAAACACCAAATAGAAATCAACTCTGCATCAACCACACCGGTGGTGAAAATGTAAACAAACATGCTGTTATAATATACACGTTGTCTTTGAAACTGATTGGCCGACACCAGAGACCAAGAAGCAGTTGCGTAACCGATTAAGAAGTTAAATCTCACAAAAATAACGTGCCGCACACAACAAATGCGACTTACACACGTGCGCCTATCTTGATTTCTATTGTGAAAAAAAATACGAATATTGTTGGATGGGCAGCGTGAGTTACTGAAATCTGGTTTATCCATACATGGCGGTCACCAACGCGCTCCGTTACAGATGAACGACGCGGGAGCAGAGCCTCACAGGGGGCGGTGGAAACAATGTACTCCCCTCCCCCCTCCTACTCTGCAGGGCCCTTGCTGGACATTCATAATAATAATAATTTATACTTGGAAAAGGGGAAAATTTCATCCGTAGATCCCATTGCGCCACCGTGTATGGAAAGCATGACATAAACAGAACCTGCAGGGTAAAACGGCCAGAACTTGGAGGTCAAGGGTAATTGCTTCCATGGCCGTCTGGAACACTCTTCCTTCTGATATGAGAAAGTCACCGAAGCTGTGCACTTTTTTAAATCTAAATTGAAAACTCATTTATTTAAAACTGCTTTTTGTGTTTAGTTTGTTGTCCTTCCTCGGCACCTCCGATTAGCACGGTTGGCTACGTACGGTGCGAAATAAGTTCAACACAGTACGTACAAGGTGGTGAAGGACAGTGCATATTTCCCAAATGAAGACATGTATTTTACATCTGTCATCATGTATTTCACGTTGATGCACATTTACATGCTTTCCTGTCTTGCACGCGCTATTCCATCTGGCCAGACGTTCAGTGCGAAAGAAATTGAACATACGTACATACATAACATTGAAGATGTGCAAATTGTATCTATTTGGTGTTTGAACATCTTAACACCTGTTGTATTGCCAGAAAGGGTAAAAACCTATTGTTATTTTTCATACATTGAAGAAGTGAGTTGTGGAGACGAACTTAAATAGCTCCAATGATTCCCGACTGCCCAAAGGCGAAAAAGCGTTCCGCAGTCTGGGGGCTGCTGCACCGCGGCAAGAAGCCCCCATCACCACCACCCCCCGGGAGTAGCGACCACACGAAGGAGAAGCCGCCCGCCGGAAGCTGCCTTCTCCCAGGCGGTGATGGGAGGTGAATGCGAGGGGGGGGGGGGGGGGGGCTGGGCAAACCTCGTGGCGGTTTCAGAGGGCACGCTCCACGATGAGCCACAGCCGCTCGGGGACACAGACTCCGCCGTGACGGGGTCGGTAACGTCACACGCGGGCGCACACGCGTGTGTGTGTGTGTATACGCGTGTGTGTGTGTGTACACGCATGTGTGTGTACACGCGTGTGTGTGTGTACACGCGTGTGTGTGTGTACACGCGCGTGTGTGTGTACACGCGCGTGTGTGTGTGTACACGTGTGTGTATGTGTGTGGGCCGTTGGGGAGCGGTGGTGGAGCGGTCGTGGAGCGGTCGGCGCTACGCTGCACTACGAACCCGGCGACGCGAGTTCCATTCCCCCTTACTGTCAACACCAGTGACGCTTATCTGAACCGGTCCTGGGCCTTATCTCGGTCGACTCAGCCTGAAATGAGTACCTGGTGCGATGTGTAAACATCGCCACTGGGGAGACAAAGGCGGCCGGGCGTGGTGCTGTCTACCCTCCCCCTCGTGTGCCGTGCCGGCCTTCATTGGTGCTCGCTAACAGCACTTGCCCCAACAGTCTGTTAAGGCTACGCATGGGGGGGGGGTCACCTGTGTGTGTGGAGGATATATTTTTAAACGTTCCGGATGCCGGGCACCGAGCCGCGCATCGTGAATGTAACACAGCCCCCCCCCAACCCCATGTCACACCGGGGGGAGGGGGGGTGGACGAGAATGCCAGGGTCCAAATTTAACCTCGGGCTGTAAATTGTCACTGACGTTCCCCCTCTCGGGGGAGTTGTGATAATGAACTTATCTGTGATGCCCTCGTGCCGTTACGTGCAAGGAGAGCTCCGTCCCCACACACACCACACATTTTACATCTGAAATGTTTAACACGTGGACCTTTTGTTTCGATGATTGCTGTTTCATGGGCTGGAGGGTCTCTTCCCAGGTAACTCTCCCAGGTGAGCATCTCTACCCAGGTGAGGATCTCACCCCAGGTGATGGTCTCTACCCAGTGAGGATCTCTTCCCAGGTAACTCTCCCAGTTAACTCTCCCAGGTGAGTGTCTCTACCCAGGTGAGCAGTCTCTACCCAGGTGAACATCTGTACCCAGGTGAGTGTCTCTACCCAGGTGAACATCTCTACCCAGGTAAGCGTCTCTACCCAGGTAACTCTCCCAGGTGAGCATCTCACCCCAAGTGATGGTCTCCACCCAGGTGAGAGTCTCTACACAAGTGATTCTCCCAGGTGAGGGTGTCTGCCCAGGTGATTCTCCCAGGTGAGGATGTCTGCCCAGGTGAGGGTGTCTGCCCAGGTGAGGGTGTCTGCCCAGGTGAGTCTCTCTACCTGCCAGGGCCTTGATGCGCGACCGCTCGAAGAGGCGAGCGGGGTTGTTCTCGTCCTCGGGGTCCTCCTCCTCGGGGAAGTCCCAGCGGCTGTTGACGTACTCATACTGCTGTTGGATCTCCTCGCTGTCAAAGTCGAACTCCGACATGGCGCCGCTCGCCGCAACACTCGCCCCACCTGCAGCAGGGGACAGCCACGCGCAGAGCGGCGCGTGAGCGGTGGACGAGGCTCTGTGGCCTTCTTGGAGCCTGCCTTGCTGAACCACAGTAACCTCGCTGCCGATCTCGTCAAGGAGCACAAAACGTCACCACGCGAACTCCGGTCACCCTCGCAGCAGCAGCAGCGGAAGCGGCGGCGGCAGCTTTTGGCTCAACCATCGAACAAAGACCGCATCGCGCGCTTTCAGATGCGCTTCCGCGGCCGTCTGGAACGCTCTTTCCTTCCCATATTAGGAAGCCACCTGGGGTTATGCACTTTTAAATCATCTAGATTGAAAACTCATTTCTTTAGAACTGATATTGTGTTTAGTTAGTTGTCCTTCCTCACACCTCCGATTAGCATGGTTGGCTACGTATGATGGCTTCCGCCACCAATATTATCAATAAGAGGTTTTTTGAGTTAGATGGCGTAAATATAAATGTGTCGTTAAACCCACCACCACCCGACACAGCCAATTTAGTAAGGGTTGTAATGTAAACAGAACATGCCAATTAGTTACTAGTTCAGCACACCGGTGTGTTGGAGAGAAAATCCATGACAATAGTTACAATTTGAGTACCGTGACAGTACTCAAATTACAACAACCAGCCTCATCAGGCAACAGCCAGAGTTGTGGTGGTAATAAATACAAAATATTTATATTTAGGACCGAAACAGGAGGATTTCTCCACAACAAGTTCAACAGATATACAAACGTGACCTAGGTCACGTAGGCCGCCAGTGCGTCGCCAACCGCTTTGCCGCTGCCGCGGAAAAGTTCCGGGTGCGCCGCGGTATTCTCGGAATTATGGGAAAGGAAAGACGCTCACTGTGCTCACTGTTCGTAAGCTGGGACAGACAAACTCCCCTCCGTGCTGTTCAGTGGCCGATCCAGCCCCCACCTCGATCGGATCATTGCCACCCCCTCCCCCCCACCCCCCAACCCTCCCCTCTCCGTTGGTCGCGAATGCAGACAGCGGTCCGTGTCCACAACTCCCTGGGCACGCAGCTGCTGCTGCAAGTGGCGTGTGCAGCGATATTACAATTCATTGTTCCCACCCGAGCCGCAGTTGGATGCTTTGGCTCGGAGTGCCGCAGAGATCGAGCAGGCTCGAAAGTGTGTGCCGTGGAGTGAAGAGGGCTGTACGTATGGATGTTGAACTTCTTTCGCACCGTACGCAGCCAACCGTGCTAATAGGAGGTGCGGCGGGGGAAGGACAACAAACTAGACACAAACAGCAGTTGAAAAGAAATGAGAATGAATCTTGATTTGAAAGTGCATAGTTCCAGTAGCTTCCTAATATTGGAAAAGTGTTCCCGATGGCCGCAGAAGCGCATCCGAAAGCGCGTGATGCGGTGAACCATCTTTGTTCAATGGCTAGCCAAAAGCCGCTGTTGCGAGGATGACCGGCGCTCGCGTGATGGTTTATGTTCATTGACGAGATCAGCAAAGTATTGTGGGTCATTCGTGGCAAAGCACTTTGTGTGTAACGAGTGGTTCAGAAAGCAGTGACATACATAGACGATCTGAGAGCAATGCCTCCTGTCTGGGCGCATTTTCAAATACACAACCAGGCCCAGCAACATATCACGATGAGAACGGTAGTTACACTCCCGCGTTGCCAGACACAGGTACACACTTGTTCGCATAACCGCATTTGCGTCACCAATCAAATCGATCACTCGTCTACTGTTACGGGGGCTTAACGAATTTGTCGGACTTTTAAGTATAAGCGGGATCACCATTGTGCTGCGAAGGGCCCTCTTAAAACAAAGCCTGGCCCATGGAAAAGGATGGTAAGCAACTCCCCCCCCCCCCCGTTAGAGCCACAACAAGACAGAGCGATGGACCCTGAACACAGCACAGTCGCTGAGAACAAGTTTTACATTTGTGGTGAACAACGTGGAACATGGAGGGGCACAGACAGGACGAAGCAGCATTCTATTTTGACTATTATTCTATTGTTTTATTGTACCAGGTAAGGCCCACTGAGCAGAAGTGACCTGGCTTTCACAAATGGCAGCTCAACGAAGTGGCTTATCATACGAAAATGCATAGCAGCCAGATACTCGAAACGCACGCCGATTCTCCATGTGGAGGGAAAAAGCCGGAGGACCCGGAGAAGAATCCATGCGACCACGGGGAGAGAGAGAGAGACGCAATCTCCAAATACACAGCAGGCATCAGGGTCGGGATCGAACCCACGACCTCCCGTGTATCAAGCGATGTAGCTAACATCTTCTAGCCACCGTGGTGCCCCAAGAGAGGCAGGGGTCTCTGCGAGAGAGAGAGAGGTGTCCGTGTAAACACGTGGGATGGCAGCGGGGAGGGGGCGAGGGCAGGGGAGCCTCACTGACAGACGAGAATGAGTGGGTGGTGCCAGTGGCTTGCTGCAGGCGAGAGGGGCCCGGATGGCCCATGAGAGGCAGGGGCCCACGTGTGTGAGACATGGGAGGGAGGGAGGCGAGGAAAGGGGGCTGTGCTGTGACCCACGGAAGGTCAGCGAGGGGGGCAGAACAACACGCGGGGAAGGAGGTGCGGGGCACCCGGGCGGCCTGGGACAATTTGGAGGCTGCAAATAAAAATATTTATCCTGAGCACATTGCGGTGCCTCTTGTGGTCCCAGACACACAAAACAAATAAAATAATATTTCACAGTGATAAATGATAATTGCGGCGACGCGACTCGTAATCTGTCAAGTCGCGCGACTCCAGAGGGGCCGTTAACAGCGGTGGCTTCTGTGCTGGCTGGGCTCAGCAGCGTCTATGCCCCCTGTGACCTCTGCAAGGGATTCTCCATCATGACATCTCAACCAGGGCCAAGGGTCCCAAATCTCCTGACAGCTTCACAACCACGCGGCTTCAAGGCCGCCGCGCAACCGCGAGGCAAGGGGCCTGCACCAGGTCCATAGGCAGCCCCCAGTCGCCTTTGCTGTGCGTTTCCTCTCCACGCCGCGATCGACGTAAACATGCTCGTGCTGGCGGCGTGGCAGCGCAGTAGTAGAGCTCGTGGCTCACGGCAAGAAGGCTTTGGGTGTTATTCCTGACCCTGGCGCCTATCGATGTGGAGGTCTCTCCCCGATCCTGCATGGCTTCCTCTAGGTTCTCTGGTTTCTTTCCATATATCCAGGGTCCTTACATGTTTTATAACACTTGGAAAAAGAACGGATAATACACTGTAACATGATAACAAAAGTATCCCATTGAAACCTCATTTGCCAGTAAAAATATGATAATTGGTTTTTTACCCTTCTATCTGGCAACAAAACTGACACCTTTTTTTACAAGAAGTCATGTTTGCATAGACCACAATACCTGCAGTCATAATGCAAACAAAAAACATAACTCTGATAATGTGCACTGTCCTTGAAGTTGATTGGTCCACACCCGAGACAGCTTTCCTTAGAGCCTAGTCTCACATGGGTTGGACCAGATGACGCCAAAAGGCGCACAACTCAAAGACAATGCACCATCACAGTATGAGAGCTCGGGGTAAGCATTTACACCATTGGAACCTCATTTGCCAGTAAAAATATGATAATAGTTTTTTTTACCCTTCTATCTGGCAACAAAACTGACACCTTTTTACAGGGAGTCATGTTTGCATAGACCACAATACCTGCAGTCATAATGCAAACAAAAAACATAACTCTGATAATGTGCACTGTCCTTGAAGTTGATTGGTCCAATCAACTTCAAGGACAGTGCACATTATCAGAGTTATTTCTTGTGGTATCGTTGCAAATTCTCAGAAGTGTTTAAACATTTTTTGAAGCACCCTGTATATAAAAAAATATCACACGTACAATTGTAACTTATCCCAATTTGTTGACAAAAAATGGGATTACACATAGCAAATTATATGACATCAGTGAGTTAAGCGTTTCGCTCTTACTGCATTCGCTAAACAGAATTGTGATAACATTTCTGGCTTAAAGTGTTTGTGTATTTCAGCACGTATTGTTGTATTTAAAGCATCACAAATGTACGGATCACGGTGCAGTAGTCTGTGTTGCAGTTTAAAGTTTCTGCAGCGTAAGCACAAAGAGGAGGTCAAGGCGAGTGGGGGCGTGCGCATTTCAACGTAGGCGGAGAGGCAATCGAAGCGATGATGCCGTCTTTCAAGCTCACATTCCCATGTATGTACGGTATGTTCAACTTCTTTCGCTCCATACGTAGCCAACGTACTAATTAGAGGTGCGGAGAAAGGACAACAAACTACACACAAAAATCAGTTCTAAACAAATTAGCTTTCAACCTAGATTTAAAAGTGCATAGGTCCCAATGGCTTCCTAATATCGGAAGGAAGAGCGTCCCAGATGGCCGCAGAAGCGTATCCGAAAGCGACACGTGCTAAATGACGATGTGTAATCATGTCCACCCCGCGTCAATCGGTCATTGTAACGCCTGCACCGCTGCTCACGCAATCGCGGTTGGCAGGAAGCGAGCAGGCGGTCAACCCGCGTGACCTTGTCATCGGGCACAGTCACAGCGCGACTCATCCACAAACGATTGGTTATTGATCCCCGCAGCAGAGGCAAGCAGGGGTCTCCCCTGCAGCCCACTGGTCCCCCCCCCCGTCACCGTTGGCCAGTGCACTGGCCATTCCGCACATGCCCCACGCCTCCAGTGGCAGCTGCCGTGCCAAGCCGCTGATGATGTCAGTGGTCTCCACGGAGTAGGGGTAGAACAGAATAAACCGGCTTCTATACATGCGGTGGTGGTGGGTGTGACAGCTGTTCCAAGTTGCCCTTTAAGAAGAAAAAAACCAGGCAGTGCTTAATTATTACCAACCCCCGACTTTACTTGTACGCGTGCCGAAACGGAGGGATGTACAAATATATATATACCAACGGAGTGAATCGCACGAACAGCGTTAATGCCTTTTGGTCGAGACACGGCCGTTGTGGCGTTGTGCACGGCAAACCTTGCATCTGCAATTTTAGTTTTGTTGAGATAACGACTTCAACGGAGTTTC